AGAAACAAGCTGACAAACGATTCATCTTTATTAAGAATATTGATAGCAAAAATCATAATACCAAGTAAGGATCACTTCAGGAATATAATGATTTAGTCTTCACAGTCCTATTAACATGATAAAACACTCCACTAGAACAAAGGAAAAAGGTCCTGACCATCTCCATGGATACCAAAAAGGCTTTGACAAAAAGATAATATCCGTATTTCTTCTCAGAAATATTTTGAGAAAACACATGGATTTGGGTGTGTGTGTTTGAGAGAGAGAAAGAGAGGGAGGGTGTGTGTGTGTGTGTGTGTGTGTGTGTGTGTGTGTGTGTGTGTGTGTGTGTGTGTGTGTGTGTGTGTGTGTGCTGGGGCTTGAACTCTAGACCTGGCATTCTCATCCAGCTTTTTCCAGACATGGTTGATACCCTACCACTTAAATCACACCTCCACTTCTGGCTTTTTGCTTGTTAAGTGGAAGTAAGTCTTCCAGCCTTTCCTTCCTAGGCTGGTTTTCAACTGTGATCCCCAGATCACAGCCTCCTGAGTAGTTAGGATTACAGTGGGAGCCACAATGCCAGGTGATACTGTTTTATTACGACAAGGAAAATGCATGTCTTCATACAAATAAAGCTGTGCAAGACATTAAAACATCCCATTGATGTTAGGAACAAAACAATTATGCCTTGTGGATCTATGACTTAACACTGTGCTCAAATGCAATTGGATTGAGAAAGCAGAGAGACAATGGAAGAGAGGGGGAGAAAATCCTAGAAAATTTGTGAGAAATCACAATCATAGTGGTGATAATGACAATAACACAAAAACCCTATTTCCTATTTAGCAAACAAAACTAGAGGAAGTCACCCCAGTGAAAATGATAGCCAAACATCCAGGAATTAAAGACAAGAAATTCATCAGTCCTGTCTGAACAAAACTGTAACATTCTGAATGACAAAAATAGACTTGAACACATGCCTAGACTACAGTGCTCCTGAATAGAAAGACTTGATGTATAAAGTCATTGTGACTCCAATTCTGAAAAAATAAATGCATATGACAGAGAAAGAGGGAAAAGCCAATATTGAGTGGAAAATATTACTATGAATATGAATAAAGCTTTAAAAATTAATGACATTCAGAGAGAGAGAAATTAATAGACCAGAATGAAATCCTAACATGTTAAGAAATTTAGTTTACAAATAAAGTAACATTTTAACAAGTGGGGAAAATTATTATCAAGTTATAGAAATGCATTGTTAATAAATACTTTGTTGGTATGGCTGATAATGATTTGGAGAAAAAATGATCTTTACTTCCATTTCCTGCATGAAAATTAAACTCAGGGAAGTCAGAAGACATGACAACAAATAAATGAAACCAGAAAGTTTTAGAAGAAAACATGAGTACGTTTATTTGTAATTTCAGAATAGGGAAGGCTTTTGTAAAAACTGGAAATTAATCTTAAGATCTACAAAGGAAAAATACAGATTGACAACGTAGAAAATTTAAACTTGGTATGTGTCAATAAACAACATCAAAAGCCAAGTGATAACTTAAAAAAATAACTTCAAGACATAAAACAGAAAGTCCCTGATGTGCATAAACAAATGTAAGAAAAAGCCAAATTACCCAACTAAAAATCATGTAAAAGATATACATTTTACAAACATTGAGACTACCAAAAAACAGTTTAAAAAGATATTCAACCACACTCTTAGTAAAAATGAACTAAAGCAGAATATAACAGTGCAATATCATTTTTTTTTACCAGACTGGAAACAAATTTAATTTGGAAATACCCAACACATAATTGTATTCTAGGGATTTGTTTCTGGAGGAGAATCTTTCCATAGTTGTCAAAAATTCAAATGCACATAGACTGAATTCCAACAATTCCATTTTTAAAACTATTTCATTTTATCTTTAAGTAGTTGTACAAAGGATTTGCCATTCAACCAAGCAGTTTATGAATACAGTGCATCTTGAACAGACAATTCCAATTCTACTTGCCAATCAATCTACTTGCTTCTGGAAACTTCAATTTTAAAAAAAGAAAAGAAAATTCTGTGTGTGTGTGTGTGTGTGTGTGTGTGTGTGATTTGTCCCTACCACATAGAATGGAGAAAGTCTTAGGATGGCCCTGCTATAAATCAAGACCATACCCTCAAATTTCCTGATTTCTCAATCTTCTTGTTCTAAACACAGTCTCTTCTCTTCATGTGTACCAAGATATTCACTGAAAACATGACAGGATAGCCACAGAAGGATGCTAACTCTGGATCTGTGTATAAAAATCAACAGCAGAAGGAACTATATGTTCACCAGTAAAAGATCATCAAATAAATAACAGTCCACAGAAACAATGGCAGCGAAGCAGTTAGGAAGACGGATGAGGTAGGCCAGTACTCATTCAGGAAATGAGGGATGGAAAGATACTAAGACAAAGCACTGAGTAGAAGTACTTCATATAGCAATCGTGTTAGGTAGCATTCCTCCACCCTGCCTTGTCTCCCTCTCTAGACTCCTCCCTCCCGTTCTTCCAAAAAGAGTTCCTCTGAGGAGAGAAGAGGAAGGAGAAAGCAAAGAGGGACTTTTTAATTATGTCCATTTTTCTAACTATGTGTACAGTGAATCCTTATTACTATTTTCATAAATGAAAGAATACTTGTACAGGTGGCCAAGTTATGAACTACTTTTCTTTGTTGTTGTTTTTAATTTCACCTGTATTTTCCATATAAAATATAAATCCTTGAAAAGTTTTCTTTTGTAAAGCAAAAAATGTAGTAAGGATCAACTCTGGGGCTAACCAGTAGAAAGAAAGCATTCTATTTCTATAGCAAAATACTTCTGTTTGTTTCTAAACACGTTGAGGGGAATACAATAAAGACAGAAAGAAAACTAGAAAAATACCGTGTGTCACCTGTCCATCCCAAGTAGAAGGTGTGAATTTGGGGCTGACCCTGATCTAAACCAGCGTTGTGCTAGTTTCCAGATTCACCACTTTCTTATAAACACAGTCTCAAGTCACACCACACACACACACACACACACACACACACACACACACACACAATGTTGCACACACACAAACACATACAGAGCACACACGAACTTTTATCTTCTTCCAGTGCACATGAGTTCATACGCATGATCCAGAAATGAGTGAGAAGGCTGGGCTGGAAAAGTACATGAAATTTCTTTTACTCTGGAAAAACTAATCTTCCGTATCTCAGGGACTAGAAACCAATTACAGATCTCCCCCCCCCCCCTGCTTCTCACACCTTTTATGCAGTTTCCAGCTCATGAGAATTTACTGGATTAACACAATAGAACAGCAGAGGTTTTTCTCTTATGAATTACCCCTGGATTTCATTTAAAAATAAGAACGAGAAGAGGCAAAGCGACGACTTTCAGCTAGACTGTTTAAAGGATTTCTGATTAACCACTGGGGTTTAAACATTATAAAGTTGACCAGGTACTAGGTATCTCACTGGTGTTAATTTCTAGCTACTCAGGAGGCTGAGATCTGAGGATCCAAGGTACGAGCCAGCCTGGACAGGGAAGTCCAGGAGATAGCCAAGTCCCAGCCCCTTCCCCATTTCCTGCTAATCAAGAAGCCAAAGGATCCAAGCTTTTACCCCCTGGGCCTGACATATGGGGAGCAGACCAAGGCGCCTGTCCACTCTGCAGATTGTATTTGTATGGTTAGATGCGCTTCTAAGACTAATCAGCTCCAACACACATGATACACGAAATGCATCATTATTTTTTAAACACACAGGAATGGTTTGAGTTAGCTTTAGTTATTTCTGCGGGCTGGTGACATTTTTCTCTTACTTGTACTTTGTGTTTTGCAGGATGGAACTCCTCAGTTCCATCTCAGACAGAACAGGAAACACAGGAGTCTTCTGAAACCTCTGGAGACTCAGTTAACTGGGCCTGGTCCTAGATTAGAACTGACACAAAACTGTGTAGATTAGCAGAAATTGGGCTGATAAAAGCATCTTTTATAGACCATGCTTTCCTCTTTCTCTCTCTCCTAAATGACATAAAACTGAGTGTGTGTGTGTGTGTGTGTGTGTGAGAGAGAGAGAGAGAGAGAGAGAGAGAGAGAGAGAGAGAGAGTGAGTGAGAGAGACAGACAGACAGACAGACAGGGAAGGAGGGAGGAAAAGAGGGAGGGAGAGAGAGAAAAAAAGATGGAATTGTAGAAAAACTCACAAGTTTTTAGTTTAAGGTGTTTTTGGTTTTATGTGTTTGGTTTTTTGGTTTTTGGTTTGTTTTCCTTTCACGAGTCAATTATTGGAACGGACTTAATGAGTGTGTTTATTAGGCTTGGTTTCAATCTAGGTTTGCACACAGGCAACAACAATATTGAATTTTTCATGTGGGCCAAGTAGCAGATGACATGCAGACACGCAGAGCCAACTGGACAGGCCTCTCCTGACCCCGCAGCTGCCCAACCCCCTCTGCACAGCTCCGCAGAGAGTGCACAAATCAGCCACACGACCTCTCAGCGGCCAACCATATGCATAAGGATGGGATTGAAGCCAGGCACTGGTAGCTCACACCTATAATCCTGGCTACTCAGGAGGCTGAGATCTGAGGATCTGCAAAGACTGCCTTAGCAGAAAGAGTTGATGAGACTCTTATTTCAGTGGAACCACCTAAAAGCCAGAAGTTAGAGCTGCGTGGCTCACGTGGTAGCGTGCTAGCCTTGAGCATAAAAGCTAAGAAAGAGTGTCCAGGCCTTGAGTTCCAGACCTCAGCACCCGCACCCCAAAAAAATCAATCAATCAATCAACCAAAAGAAGAGGATTGAACAGAACTTCTGGCTGCGGTGTTGCTGTGACTAAACCCAGCCAGGGGACCCACCGCCCTCAGAATGGACCCCCCAGAACCCTCACGATGAATGCTGCTGCAGCCTTAGCACCCCACCCCACCTCCACCACCAGATTCTCCACCCGCCCAGCTGGCCTCTGCATTTCCCACGTCTACAGGACCATGCCAACCCTAGGCAAAATCTTTGGACACAGCCTCCACGAAGTTGGGGGCGGACATGAGGATGCCAATGGTGCAGATGATGGTGAACACGGAGAAGGCCATGAGGCACAGGCGATCGACCACGCAGGCGGCGAACTTCCACTCGCTGCACACCGCCTCGCTCTCATCCTGGCAGCGGAAGCGGTTGGCGATGTAGCGGACCTCCTCCAGGATCTTGGCCAGGTCGGCGTCGCCCTCGGGGGGCTGCCCACCGTGCAGGAGGTGATGCTCCTCGTGCGAAGGGGAGCAGGCGATGCGACCGCACACCACCCCGGAGTCGGGGGTCGGGGCGCAGTGCACGCCCTCCAGGCCTCGGAAGCCGATGTACAGCAGGTTGCCGTTGCTGGCCGGGGGCCCCGTGCCCGCGCTCAGCTCCACGCTGGCCAGGCTGCAGCGCCTCGGCTTGTGCTGGCAGGCTGGCCGGACCTTGTCCTCCCCTGGCCTCTTCATTCTCAGGAACCACGCGCACCAGTTCAGGAGGATGATTCTGGTCTGCAGAAATGACAGGGGCTGCTCAAAAGTGGATACTGGCTGATCCTGACCATCATGGTGACCCCCCACCCCCCACCTCCCCATTGGAAGGTCGGCTTCACTCGTTAGGACTGAGGCTGGAGGAAGAGAGATCAGACTTCTCTCACTCATTATAAAGGTTAAGACAAATTGGACGCTGAGAATAAAAATCTAGGCAGATTTTTACCCGCTTTGGGGCTTGAACTCAGGGCCTAGATGTTGTCCCTGATCTCTTTTGCCCAAGGCTAGTGCTCAACCACTCTGAGCCACAACACCACCTCCCGTTTTCTGGTGGTTCATTGGAGATAAGAGTCTCAAGGTCTTTCCTGCCAGGACTGGCTTTAAAGCACAATCCCCCCATCTCAGCCTGAGTAGATAGATTGACAGATGTGAGCCATCCGTGCCCTGCCAGCCTGTTGCTGAATTATAACTTCTGGGCAATTGACAATAAACTCTCTAAGAAAGACAGCCTTGTGAGCCAGCTACTTGGTGGCTCACACTGGGAATCCTAACTACTTCCGAGGAGGCTGAGATCTGAGGATTGCAGTTCAAAAAGTCAGCCTTTGGCAAGAAAGTCTGGGAGATTACCTCTAATTAACCAAAAAAAGACAAAGAGATGCCAGGAGTGGCAGAGTGTCGTTCAAGTCATAGAGCTTTGAACCTTGAATGAAAAAGCTAAAGGAGAACTCAAAGCCCTGAGTTCAACACCCAGTACTGGAACTCCCTCCAAAAACAGAAGCTGGGATTAAAAAAAAAAGAAAGGGTTCCATTTTGTATAATGGAATTCTATGCCTCCATCAGAAAGAATGACATTGCCCCATTTGTTAGGAAATGGAAAGGCTTGGAAAAAATTATATTACGTGAAGTAAGCCAAGCCCAAAGAAACATAGGTCCCATGGTTTCCCTTATTTGCAATATCTAGTATAGGTATGAGTCAAGCAGAAAAGGTCAGATAATGTGATGTTAGGAAAATGAACCCTTAGATATGTATTTAAATGTTTTTTTCTCATGCATTTGTTTCTAATGCATTTATAAGATTATTTCTTTGTTGCTTTGTATGTCCCTCCCCCACAGTATAACCCCTGCTTTCACTGTATTTGATGTCGGTATAATTTGTGGAGGGGAAGGGGAAAAACAAGTCGTTTAAATAAGGATACAGATGGACCCATTGCAACAATAAGTACAAGTTGTCATGTCGAAAACGAACTTTACAACTTTGGTGGCGGAGGGGGGGGGGGTGGGGGGGGGTGGGGGGGGGTGGGGGGGGGTGGGGGGGGGTGGGAAGGGATGTGAAGGGTAAACAAAGGAGGAGGCTGCAATGCTTGATAAGAAATGTACTCATTATCTTGCCCATGTAATTGTAACCCCTCTGTACAGTATTTTCACAATAAAAAATAAAAAAATTTTAAAAATTTAAAAAAAGAATTAAAAAAAGTTAAAAGAAAGAAAGAAAGAAAGATTCTCATGACTTAGCCCAACCCTTCTCTCTCAGACTGGGCTAGATCTTCAGGGAGACTCTCCCGGACTGTGCGTGAGTCTAGCCTGGGCTAGATCTCCAGGGAGACTCTCCTGGACTGTGCGTGAGTCTAGCCCCAGAGGCATTTGTTCAGGTTAGAGCTGAGCAAGGCCTGGGCACTTCCACTGTAGGGGTCTGTGCCCTGAGGCAAGTACTCAGCTGGAAGAATCTGCGTGTCCAAGTCTATTTTGAATTCTAGGGCCTGAATCATTAGCTTTCAAGGCCAAAGCATCTCCAAAGATGAAATTATCCTCCTGGCACTTCTCAAACGGTGCCTCTAACCTCTTCTGTTAGGTTATCGTTGTGTTTCTGACTGTTCAAATGTCAGATAATGCCACTGCACCCAGCAGTATCTTCTTCATAGCATCAGATCATAATAAGAGTCCCTCTGAGGCTGTTTCTCTCTCTCTCTCTCTCTCATACACACACACACACACACACACACACACACACACACACACACAGAATGGAAAGAACAATGCAGCCTACTATATAAAAAGAGAGAGTGATGTATATCCATTACATTATTGCAGACCCACTGGTTTTAACAAGCTGTTGTGTGAAGAAGTTTATAATTAGCATATGCTTTTAATTAAGATTCCCCCCACTTCCCCCTTTTTTTTCCTGGAAGAGTAAATGCCACTAGGTCATCAAAACGATTTTGTGTCTCTGTGTTTCCAGGCCTTTCTCTACACATCCATCAAAATACTTAAAAGAATGAGTGTTTTATGCTTTTGTGCTACTGTAAACCAATCCTGGGAAGAAAAAGAGGGAATTCAAGCAAATGGTAATAGAAAGAATCAAAGCCAGATTTCCTTATGTAAAAATGTTAATTTTGGTTTTTTGGCTTTCGAAGCAGGGGAGTGGCTTTCCTGCCTCAGAGAGATAGGTAGAGAGACAAAATTTCATATAAATACACAGGGTACCAGGTGGGCTGGTATCTTGCTTATGAGTATTAGGGCTTATGAGGATGCAAGTAGATATACACAAAGGTACTGAATTTACGTATGTTTAAGTCATCTACATCCCAGGATCCTACCTCCACACATTTGAACAACTGGGGTTTGTAAAAAGAAATTTCTGCCAAGTACTGATGGTTCAAGCCTGCGATCCTAGCTACTCAAAAGGCTGAGATCTGAGGATCATGGTTTGAAGCCAGCCCAGGCAGAAAAGGCTATGAGGATTCTTATCTCTAATAAATCACCAAAAAGAGGCTGGAAGGGTGCTTCTATAAAGAGAGTGCCAGTCTTGAGTGAAAAAGGCAAGTGAGAATCAGTGGTTGGGGTTAGGAAGTGTAGACCTCAAGCCCCAATGCCAGCACAAGCAAATAAGCAAACAAAACCCCGCATCCCTACTGAATATGTACAGACTTTTCCTTGCCTTATTTCTTAAAACAATGCAACATAGCAACGATTTACACAACATTTACATTGTGTTAGGTATATGTCACGCAGAGATGTTTTAAAGTTCATGGAAAGAGGGGCGTAGGCTTTATACTGCACTATTTTATATAAGTGTCTCCGATATCTGCAGATTTCAGTATCTTCAGTGTACCCTGGAACCCATCCCCTATAGACAGAAGGACCACTGTATTTATGCACAGCTCGCTCTGTTTCATATTCTTTTGGTTCCTTGTTGAGTGCTGAAACTCTAACCATGTTCCTGCTGGTCTCTCACCTTCTGATTCCTACTGCTTCTCAGAATTCCACGGTGTATAAAAACACAGTACTTTAGAAAAACCCTGTATTAGCAGAATGTACAGGGCACCAGTATAGGAGTCCTCCCTGGAATGCCAGATTAAAACATGCCACAGTAGCCAGGTTCCAAGGACTTATGCTTACAATCCTAGCTACTCAGGCAGAGATCTGAGGCTCAAAGTTCAAACCCAAGCCAGGTACTGAGTGGCCCATACTTGTAATCCTAGCTACTCAGGAGGCTGAGATCTGAGGATCAGTGCTCAAAAACACCCAGGCAGAAAAGTTCATGAGACTTTTTTTTTAGGTTGGTCGTGGGGCTCGAACATAGGGCCTGGGCTCTGTCCTTGGCCTGTTTTGGTCAAGGCTAGGGCTCTACCACTTTACGCCATGGCTCTACTTCCAGTTTTCTCAGGGACATTCCTGCCCGGGCTGGCTTTGAACCAGGAACCTCAGTTCTCAGCCTCCTCAGTGACTAGGATTACAGGGGTGAGCCACCAGAGCCCGGGTTCCATGACACTCTTATCTCCAGTAAACCAACAAAAAGCTGGAAGTAGAGTTATGACTCAAGTGGTAAAGCACCAGCCTTGTGCAAAAAATTAAAGCTAAGGGACAGATCCCGGACCCTGAGTTCAAGCTTTAGTACCAGTATGCACACACCAAAAACAAAACAAAACACACAAAAATTATGGGATAGACACCAAAGAGCATGTACATGTTGATTGCATCTGCTGCAGAGACAGGCAGAGGTAAAGTGAGATGGAATGATGTTAGTCGAGGGATGGTTTTTAAAAAACCTTATGAGAGCCTCTCTTTGGGAAGGTTCTGAGGCTACAGGAGGGGGAGGAACATACCCACTTGGGCATCTTGCCGCCATCGGGGTCATGATGGTGGTATTGGAGCACAATTACTGTCACCACGACCGACAGGCCTACGATGATCATGGTGCTGGCAAAGTACTGGGCTGTGGAGAAAACAGACTCAAGGTGAATCCTAGGGCCCTCATAATGCCCACATCACAGGACACAGAGGTGAAGCTAACCCCTTCCTCTTATGGTCAAAGCCTACAGTGCAGTCATGCTAGAAAGTAAGCTATAGGGGAAAGAACAGCCCAGAAACGTGACATGACATCCTACCGCCACATAGGAGCTGCAACTCCCACAGGAGATGTGACACCCAATGGAATGATCTTGTCTCCTCCATCCTCACAATTAGCTTGCTTTCTAACCAGGAATGTAAGCCCGGATGTAGTCTCAGCCCAGCTGAGCATTCTTTTGCATGAGCCCATCCAGAAAGGTGCATAGAAACAGCTAGGATTGTCTCTTGTGTCTGTCATCCATTCCTGGGTAGAAATTGTGCCTTATACCTCTCATGGTAAAATCCTTTGTGTTCTGTTTGTATTCAACCACTCACTTATATTTATTATTTCGTGGGTAGTGGGGCTTGAACTCAGGGCCTGCGCTCTTGTCCCTGAGCGCTTTTGCTCAAGGTTAGTGCTCTACCACTTTGAGCCACAGCATTGCTTCTGGTTTTCTGGTGGTTCATTGGAGGTAAGACTCTGATGGACATTCCTGCTGGGGCTGGCTTCAAACTACGATCCTCAGATCTCAGCCTCTTGACGAGCTAGGATTACAGGCATGAGCCATTGGCACCTGGCCCCAATCTCTTATTTTATACAGAAACATCAATGTATCTCAGGAGAGAATGATTAGGAATTACAGTGTGTACTTCTTGATTTTAATGAAAGGTTAGTGGGAAAGCGATGTCTCGTTAACATAATGAGTGTCGGATCGTAAAATCTTTGGCTTATCAAGTAAGCATGAATGGGATAAAAAGTTCTTGCTATGTTGCCTTGTCTGTGCTCCTGAGCTCAAGTGAACCTCCTGACTTTGCCTCCCAAATACTGGCACGATAGGTACAGGACTCCACTCGCGGCCATTCACGCAACTGAAACATAAAGCACAAAGTTGGCCATGTCCTTTGTCTTACTTGGGCCTAAATAAGCAAATGTCATGGGTCACTCTGAATAGTTCTAGGAGAAAATAGAGGGGGCAGTAAAGATCCAGAGTCATGGACAGTTCATCTACCGAGAAATCCACAGCTCTCTCTAACCCTTTTCTTTAAAAAAAAAGGAGTCAAACTCATGTCTAGGTGCAGCGGCTCACATCTGTAATCCAAACTACTTGGGAGTGGACATGAAGAGGATCACAGTTCAAGACCAGAAAGACCCCATATTAATCAATCAGATCTGAGGATACATGCTTGTGATCTCAGGTATGTAAGAGGTTATGGGTAGGAGAAAGATCACAGGTTCAGGCAAAGCCAGGGTGGCAAAAATGTAAGACCTTAACAGAAAATAACTACACCAAAAAAAATGGATATGACTCAAATGATAATCTACCTGGCATACACAAGGCTCTGAATTCAAATCCCAGTACTATGAAAAAAATAATGACTGGTTCCATCTCTTGCCTTACCTATCAAGGGCACTGAATCAGAAGTTGCAGGCATGATCTCGGCCACCAGCAGCATGAAGACAGTAAGCGACAGCAAGACTGTAATCCCTGAAACAGAAATGGAAGGCAGTTCCTTAGGTAAAATAGCCAGGTAATATCAGGTAAATTCTACCTGACCTCACTCCTGACCTAGGTTTCAGGGAATATAAGGAGGTACTGGGCTGAGGGACGGATATGTGCGTTTTGTTCACATGGGGGCATGCATATTTCTGTGGTCCTTGTCACCTTCTAGAGCTCCCAAGAATCCCCAGTGGAGACATGTCTAAGAACCACAGGACCTGGAAAGGATTAACACCACCCAATTACCTCTCCAGCTCTTTATTGGATGCTTTTGCTGAGGGAGATTCTCGTAGTAAGATTGGGAAAGTGTGCAATCAGAAGAACTAGTTTTGGCTAGGTGTCAGGGGCTCACATCTGGGTAGCTATTCAGCAGGCTGAGCTCTGAGGATCGAGGAGCAAAGCCAGCCTAGGCAGGAAAAAATAAATGCAAGTGGAGTTGTGGCTGAAATGGTAGAGCAGGAGCCTTGAGTGAATCACACACACACACACACACACACACACACACACACACACAGGAGACCGAGTTTCCCAATGTGACTTTGGTCCTTCCTAGCTGTGTGACTGGATAAATTATTGAACATTCTGAGCCTTGTACCCAGAAAATCAGAGGCTTGCAAATGATTTCCACTGCATCGTAAAGGATGTATGTTTTTCAGGACCACCAGAAATAAAGAAACACATTGCATTCAAAATCTTTAGCTTTGTAGATGAGAAACAACCTTTCTTACATTGCTCAGAGTCGCCAAGTTACCGATGCAAGTCGATCATTGAGCTACACTGTCCCCTACTCCTAACAGAGGCTGACCAGCTGCCGCCAAGAAACAGGATGAAGCGGAGTCCAGGCCCCTCAGAGGAGATTAGATCAAGTCTCTCCCTTGTGTGTCCTCCCCTATGCAGGACTAGACAATCCCAGGATGCCGATGTATTTTCTTAGGAGGACACATCTGTCCACCTTGGCTGGAGGAGGAGTCAGGAACTCCTGGGGTTGAGACCTAGAGGTGGTGAGCCAAGAAGGCTTGGGGGTCCCCCAATGTCACCGCTACGTGGTCCATAGAAAGCACCGCAGGGCTGACCTCAAGGAAGGGGCCTGGTCACTTACCGAGGGAGATTTTCTCGCCAGAATCTGCAGGAAGTAAGAAGACCAGCAGGGCCAGGGCGGAGATGAGCACACAGGGAATGAGCAGGTTGAGCCCGTAGTAGAGGGTCCTGCGACGCATGGTCACCGTGTAGGTAACATCCGGATAGGGTTCTTTACAGCATTCGTAAAACTTTTCGCTTCTCTTGCCTGGGACTCCTGCGTGGGACAGAGGGGCAAGGCAAGAAGCGGGGTCAGAACACACAGTGGCTTTGTCCGTTCCAATGTAGATATTGCATGTGATCGTGTCACGTCAGTCTGTTCAGTGATTTGAAAAAATGGGTATGTGCGAGTTTTCTTCAACCCTTGTTGGATTGTTAAAGAGCTGTTTAAAGACAAACTGGCAAGCCTGGTGCTGGTGGCTCATGCCTGTAATGCTAGCTACTCAGAAGACTGAGATGAGTGATCACAGTTCAAAGGCAGCCAGGGCAGGAAAGCCCACGAGACTCTTTCAGAAAACAGGAAGTGGAGCTGTGGCTCAAAGTGGTAGAGCCCTAGCCTTGAGGAAAAGAGCTCAAGGATAGATAGCATCCAGGCCCTGAGTTTAAGCTCTATGACCAATCAAAAAAGAAAAAAGAAAAAGACAAACTGGCAGATATTCTGGTGATGGGACTGGAAGTACCTGGCTTTCTTCTTTAGAATAAAGTTTTATTGTTATTATAAAGATGATACACAGTAGAGTTACTGTTTCATAGGTCAGGTAATGAGTACATTTCTTTTTGGACAATGTCACCCCTTCTCTCTCTTCCAGTGTTTCCCTCTCATCCCTACCCTCAAGTTGTATGGTCCATTTCCAAAATAGTTTCTTCTGAGTATCTCTGCTGCATTTGCTCACCCTTTGTCCCTCCATTTTTGAGCCCCAGGTTCAGACAAAAGACAAAAATGCAAAGAAAAAGAAAGTCCACTTGCTTCCATTTCCTGGGAGTTCATCTTAATAACTATTATTTTATGTGATCAGAGGCACAGAAGCATTGCACCCTTGTGTTCTTCCCCTAAGAATATCTTCCTTTGGTCTCACTGTGTGTGAATACCTAGAGTCCTGTATCATTTATCACTATATGGTCATCTTTAATACACAGCCAGTTTTATATCATTATATGTGTAATTATGGGTGTGACTTACACATAATGATATGTCTGTCAAAGAAGGAACCAATATACAACAGGGGGGGTTGGTAAGATTGTATCACCCAGTGATTGCGTAGCAAGCCAAGTTTGTGGATTTCCAATCATGACACAATGGTCAAAAGTTTCCTAACAACACACTCTGAGTATTACCCACCATACAGGGACTCCATTTACAAAGCTGCACTGACAAAATCGGTCTAAAGGGTCGTGGCAATTCTCTTGTGTGACCCAAGAGCATTGAGAACCAAATCCTTCTCTGAGCCTTAGAGATTTGCTGGGTGGGTAGATTGCCACACAGAACATCATGGTGGGAGCTGATTCCACCAGAAAGAACAAATGTCCCACAATCAAATGGTACTTGGCAAAATTTGAGAAATGCCACTTTGAGAAAATGGCCAGTTGGATGCCCGGCCCAGACATGCCAATGGACTGGCAAACTTATGACCACTCAAATTTGCCTTGGTTTCCAACCACCTCTTGGGTTCCTCCCTTTCTTCCCCCCTCCTCCTCACCCAGTGCCAACGTTTTCCCAGCCACACTATTTGTTATAAACCCAAATCTCCCCCTTGGCAGTGCTGGTTCAGTGCCTGGCTGAATCTGCACTTCCTGATTTGCAAATCTGTGTATCGGTGCCGACGCCAGCACTGACTTGCTGAAACACATCCTCAGCACGGCGATATGGCGGCTCGTTTCTCTTGGAAAGCAATGTGTTTGCTAATTGTTTTTGGTGTCTCACCCTGGAGCGCTCAGTAAACAATCCAGAGCTCTGCCAAGTTCAGCAAATGCTCACACTGCAAAGGACAATAGAGAATCCCAAGCTCCTCTAAGGAGGAATGCAGCTCTCTTTTATTCTACAAGGCTGGCATCTTGGCTAGGCTTACCCATGAGGTCCCATTCGCCATTGGGGATGTAGCTGCTGACATCTGCCTCCTGCATCTGCAGGTCCAAGGACCAGCCTCCATAGGACCAGGACCCAAACTTCAGTTTGCACTGCTGTACATCAAAGGGAAACCAGCGGACGTCGATGTAGCAGGAGCTCTTGAAAATACCTGCGTTGCGTGACAGTCGCCATCAGGAAACAGGTATGGAAGCCCATAAAGAAAGTGGCAATGACTCCGGTCCATCACACCCCATCAAACCAAAGCACACCTGTCCAGAACAAACTGCATTTCTCTCTTCCTTTTTCCTCCCTCACTCTTTCTTCTTCCATTCCCGCCTTCCTTCTTCCTCCCTCCCCTTCCTTCCTCTTTCCTCCTCCTCGTCCTCCCTCCCACCCCCTCTCTCTCCCTTCCTATTTCTCTATTTCTCTCTCCCACTTTCTTTCTCTCCCTCCTTTCCTTCTCTTCCCCTTCTTGTCCCCATACTTTCTTTCCTCCCTCCTTCCCTTTCCCCCTTCCTTCCTTTTTTCCCCTTCCTTCTTCTCTCCTCTCTCTTCCTTCGAAAATGCCTAGGAAAGAAGCTCAGCCACAGCTTCACCGTCATTTAAAATCCAAACACGGTGACAGTCTCTGTTGCAGGAGAATGTTCTCAGGGTTTTCCTGCCCAAGAATTGACTCTATAAGCTTGCGTTTCCATGAATGTCTTCAGACTGTAAGTAATAAACGTGAAGAATATAAACCAAAAAGAAAAAAAATCTCAGATCAATTGATAAAAACAGATGAAGGGGTTAGAAAGAAAATCTGAAAGGGAGGTAGGAGGTGGTAGGTAAATGATAGTTAAGGCAAAGAGAGAATTCTTGGATGAAAGGAAGACTTCTCACTAAAAACAAGAAGAAAATAAAAAGCAAAAACAAGACACTGTGGGCCCCAGTAAGGTAGAAATGGATTTTCTAGGTCACAAGAAGGAGACTGGATAAACCCTTAAGCCCATTCTACTTTCTGGTGTCTGGTGTTCTTCCCTGCTCAGGAAAAATGCTGCAGGTGCTCCAGGCATGACTGGAACAGGTAAACTGGCCTTCTGCACATTTCTGCTGCTGAAGTGAAGAGACTGAGGGCCTTGCAAACACTGACCCCGCCTCAGCACCATGGTGGGGAAATACTGTCAACTATGTATCTCCATAAGGTCCTGTGATTCTGATTCACGCTATGACTTTATGTGTTCGCAGGAATCTGCAAACCATGGCTGAGGCCCTCTTCCCATTAGCGGGCTGGGCCGTCTTTGCCTGGTGCAATCGCTTATTCATTCATTTATTGACACACACGTCCCATGCTGTTGAAGAGTGATAAATTCTAAGGTAAACACACATAGATTCTGTCTGCTGAGGCTTATCATCTGCTCACAGGAAGAGCAAGTAAACAAGGAAGCAGAAGGCAAAGCCGGCTTTGTTGTGGGATGAGGAAGGGAGAGGATGCATGAATAAAGGTACAGATTGATGGGGGGGGGGTGCACATGCGTGCGCATACACACACAGGCAATGTAACACAGATTTCTTCTGAGCAGGAAGTGGCCCTGGGGAAGCTAATTCTTCAAAAGAATATGCAAAAAAAATTTTTTAACTTCCACACCATCCAAAAACAGAAAAAAAATTCAAGTATTAACATCCAACTATTGGAGAAGAACAATGCAAGGGGTGACAGTGATCAAGATGCACGCATTGCACTCACACACTGACACGTGGACTTGAAACCCCTTGGTACAACTACTTAAAGATAATAAAATTTTTTTTGAGGGGGTCCGGTCATGGGGCCTGAACTCTGGGCCTGGGCGCTGTCCCTCAGCTCTTCAGCTCAAGGTTAGCGCTCTACCACTTGAGCCATAGAGCCACTTCCGGCTATTTTTTTTTCTGCTTATGTGGTGCTGAGGAATCGAACCCAGGGCCTTAAGCATGCAAGGCAAGTGCTCTACCACTAAGCCACCTTCCCAGCTCAATAAAAAAAAAAAATTAAATGAGAATTTTAAAAACAATGAATATCCAACTACTAAGATCCATATACTAAAACACACACTTCAGTCATGAAACTGCAATTTTCCAGGCCTCATTTGGGCACCAAGTAGTTCAGAGCCTTGGTGAGACCCACAGAAATGGTGTGTGTGTGTGTGTGTGTGTGTGTGTGTGTGCGTGCGTGTGAAGTTCAGGAAGCTCTTAACCACCAGGAAGTTGAGAAGGAGTCAGCCCAGATCCAGGATCAAACCCTTCATGAACTCTTTTTTGAAAGCATAGGACCATGACTCTCTAATCTGCACATGAATTGTATGAACTCAAAACATGGTGCCCAACTCCCACCATGTCTCAGATCCTGAAGATCTACCAAGACACTAAGGCATAGCCAGGAGGAAAATGGTAGATAGAAATGGAGGACCCGGTGGTCTGGTGATCAGGCTTGTGGACTGAAATGGAAGGAAAAGGGCTCAGTTAGCACATTTACAAGTGAAAAGGAGAATTGGAAGTCACCTATTCACGGAGACTTGTTTCATCTGTCGGGTTGACTTTAAGGAGCACATATGTGACAGAAAAGTAAGAACAAATGACAAATGTTGGCAAAGACCATCCAAAGTCAGGATTCTAAGACCAAAGCAATAGTGAAATCGGTCCAACTTGAGGAGACATTTGAAGGCATTTGAGGGGAAGAAATGGTAAGGGTGAGATGCACTGTGCATGGGTGGGCAGCCATCAGGACAGATGACACACACACTTCCTTGAAAGCTTCTAACAGGAAGTAGATCTTACCTGGAGGGAGGTACTGACAATGCCCGGAAGCATTCACCAAGACGTTAGTATGGAAGGTGGCATCAAACCGTTCATCAGCACTAGAAGTAGGAAAAGGGTTCCATGAGTCAGGCTGTGGGTTTCTTGGGGCCCTTAGATCTGCTGTGCCACCAGTAAGAAGAGCATCAGCTTCTGGTGTGTCCATCTTTGTACCCAGACAACCTTATACCTGGTCTGGAATTACCAATGGGACTTACCTGGGAAGTCTGCTCAGCGCAGAGTTTGCTGTGGTGGTGTTCATTATGTGTACAAAACAAAGATCCTATCCAAAAGCCCACTGGTAAGCTATCAGTGTGAAAGAAATGTCATTGTATCTCCATTTGTGCCAGAGATAAGGAGCAGAGATTGGCTTGTGGCTACCCTGCCAGCCCTAGAGGGTAGAGATTTGAACCTGCTGTGTTCAGAGCTCTTGTTTCAAGTCTCCTGAAGGCAGTCCACACTTAGCTGGGACTTGACAGAGGTATCCTGATTGATGGATGCTGCAGGACAGGGAGGGAGGGAGCTGGATACCAGCAAAGCCCCGGAGGGGATCCAGACCCACAGTCAGTGAAGACAAAGGGATTGTAATATACAGAGTATATAATACAAAAAGTCTATACAAAGATGCTAATTTGAGGATGTTTTAGATGGATGCCTGCTCCATCTGTACCTAGGTGAGAACCTTCTGTAGCCAGGAGTTACAACTTGGGTAAAGAAAAGAGGGAGAGGGAGAGAGAGAGAGAGGGAAAGAGAGAGAGGTAGAGAGAGAGAGGAGAGAAAGAAGGAGGAGACACAGGAGGAAAAAGGGAGAGAAGGGGAGAGAGGAGGAGGAGAGAAGCGAGAGAAAAAGGAAGGGAGAGAAGAGGAGGGGGAGAGAGAGAAAAGAGGAAATTGGAGGAGAGGGGATTAGAAGGAAAAAGCAACAATTAACACTGGCAGCCTGTGTTAACCACAACATGTACTTTCTGTGTTTGATCTGTTGACTTCTGCTGTGAGAGACTGTGCTCCTGGGATTTGTCAATTCCTAGAGACAGCCAACAACTCCTTCAGGAGTGCCTTTCAAATAACAAATCCATCCATCCAGAGCCCACACCCTAATTAAACTGCTTTTCCACCAGGCTCTTAACACTCAGGGCCGCAATTCACCTGCCCCACTAGCCAGGCACATGTGGGAGCAGCTCCCATACCCCAGAGCCTGCTGACATGATTCCAGTCTTACCCAGCCTTCCCTGTTCCATCCCAGGGAAACCACAAGAAAGATCCTGGAATTATTATAAGTCCTTTCAGCCTCCTGATCACATGAGTACTTCCGCCAAGCCCCGCCCTGCTTCTTGGTATGCTCTGTTTCTTGCTTTTAGGAAACGACAAGTAGAAATGTGTTCCTTAATGATACACTTTCCTCTCTGTAGGTCTGCCCATTTACCTAATTAAAACCAATCCTGCACGCTGGCTTACACTATTGCCTTACACCTATCATCCTAGCTAGTCAGGAGGCTGAGATCTGAGGATCATAGTTCAAAGCCAGCCCAAGCAGATAAATCTGAGACACACTTTTCTCCAATTAATCACCAAAAAAGACAGAAGTGAAGCAGTGACTGAAGTGGTACAGCACCAGCCTTGAGTGAAAAAGCTAAAAGCACAGCCACCAGCCCTGAGTTCCAGTTATAGTGCTGGCACACAAACAAATAGAAAAGCAAATCCTGATTATCTTTAAGATAGCTGCACATGCAAATAAACACAAGCAATCCCACAAAAAGCTAGACAGCCAGTCAAATCTCACTATTCACAGCAGATAACCAAAAAACCCCATTCTCTGCCTGAGATCCTCAGAATCACCAGAGATTAGTGATCAATCATTACCATGAGATATATAATCAAAGATACATATTTTTTTTTTTGGTGCCAGTCCTGGGGTTTGAACTCAGGGCCTGGATGCCATCTCTGAGATATTTTTGCTCAAGGCTAGAACTGTTGAGCCACAGCTCCACTTCTGGCTTTTTAGTGGTTAATTGGAAATAAGAGTCTCATGCACTTTCCAGCCCAGGATAGCTTCGAACATTAATCCTCAGATAAGCTAGGTGTGAGCTACCGGTGCCTGGCTAGACATATTTTCCCCCCCAGAAGATCCAAATAGCAACTACCGAAGAAAAGAATGAAAAATGACTTCTCACAAAAGTAATATCCTCCCTCCAGATTCAAGAGAATATGACAATTAGAAAAATGGAGAGGAATATGGGAATTAAAGCCATGACTGATGAAATAATTCCCCGATAAATGATGGGAAGTTGGGCTGATAAGCACCACAGACAACAAATAGGACAGAAATGACACACACACAGCACAAATGACAAGAGCTGCTGCAGAGCTCATGCCACTAACAGAAGCTCCGCCAGGAGACAATGGGGAGGCTGAAAGGGAGAGAGAAATCTCCAAAGAAACACAAAGAGAATTCATACAGCAGAAAAGAAACTATTCAAGCATGAAGGCAAAGAAAGGCATTGTCAGGCACACAAGGCTTCAGAGTCTCTTTCCTACGTGGATGACCTTGACAAGCTTCAGAAAGTAGAGAGTGAAAGCCAAGAAAGGAGAAATAAACTTTTAGATTAAATTGGAGATAGAAGGCATGGCTATGATCTAAGCCAAGGCCAGGGAAGGGAGATCCAAATGAGAGAGAGAGGGAGAGAGAGAGTTAGGGATCTCACGAGAGAACAGGGATTCAGAGAAAGTGAAAGAAAGAGAGAGAGAAAAATGCACTGTAAAACGGTATGGGTTTGATTAAGGATGTATTTTAAAACATTACTATTATTATTATTATTTGCCAGTACTGTGGCTTGAATGCGGGGCCTGGACACTGTCTGTTCACTTTTTCTCTCAAAGTTAACACTCTATCACTTAAGCTGGTTAATTGGAGATGAGTCCCATGGACTTTCCTATCCAGGCTGGCTTCAACCCTCCGTCTTCAGATGTCACAGCCTCTTAAGTACCTAGAATACAAGTGAAAGCCACAGGGACCCAGCTTTCTAGGCATATACATAATGAATACTATGACATCTGTTAGATTAGTGATACAATTCTGAAAGATTAAAAAAATAAAGCAGTCCCTACAAGATCTTCTTGTAGGTATTCAGATCAATTTCACTGAAGAAATTCTCCAGGAGAATGGGCTAAAAAAAAAAAAAAAAAAAAGATGAGCTGTTGCCATTAGCAACAGCTCACCAGTGTCACGCCTGTGGCTCTGTGGCTACTGTTGATCCAAATAGTATTCTGAAATCCTTGCTATTCTCACAGTGCGATTGTGATCAAAAATCCAAATCTGAATATTCACGATGGTAATTTTCCAATTCTTTCTCCCTTAGGCAAGCTGGGTTGTTGTTGTTGTCGTTTTTATCAACAAATAACATACAAAGTAAACTTGGGTGACAAATTTGCGCTAATACTTACTTTTCTCTGTTCAGAACATGAAGGCAGGTGCTAAGATTGCCTTGTAAAAAGAGGCCCTGTTGCAAAACACTGAATTTGAACACAGCTCTCCGTGGCAGGAAACGCAACCCCTCTGAGGCCCGTTCTACAGGTTCTACCTGAAGAGCACAAACTATTCTCTAACCCTTGGCTTATGAGTAGTTCTCTTCTAGGGGGAAAGAGTTGTCATCATCAACCAGGCACAAAGATTTGGGAAGGATCACGAACACATGGAGTGGGGAGAAGGAGGAAAGTAACACCCACCAAGCCAGCCACATTAACCAAATCAACCCTAGTAACTCAATGGGGTGGCAGGTGGCAACAGCCAGACCTTCTTTGCATCAATGAAGTCCCTCTGAAACACTCAGTGTCCAAAGCAACTCAGGGACTCAAGTGGCTACAATGATGAATGCAGCTCAGCACATGCCCAGTAGTTACCACTGTGCTGTAACCTCTCCGCGATGCCAGGTCTTGTAGCTGGCTGAGGACTGCTAACCGCGAAGCCAGGGATGGCTGCACTGGGATCCATTTCATTCTTCTCTCTGCTTTCATGGGTATTTAAATTTTGTCTGTATTCATTTGCAAATGCCAGGTCTATGTTTTTTTTCTATCCCTAAACTACTGGAAGACACATATAGCTGCAGAGTTTTTGTTTTGTTTTGTTTTTGATGCCGGTATTGGGCCTTGAACTTAGAACTTGGGTACTGTCCTTAAGCTTTTTGTTTTTCTTTTCTCAAGGCTAGGGCTCTACCACTTAAGTCACAGCTCCACTTCTGGCTTTTTTTTTTTCAAGGATGGGGGTTGAGGGGCTGGGAAGGTGGCTCAGTGGTAGAGCGCTTGCCTTGCATGCATGAGGCCCTGCGTGCATGCATGAGGTTTGATTCCTCAGCACCACATAAGCAAAAAGAAAAAAGCCGGAAGTGGCATGGTAGCTCAAGTGGTAGAGTGCTAGCCTTGAGCTGAAGAGCTGAGGGACAGCGCCCAGGCCCAGAGTTCAGGCCCCACGACCGGACCCAAAAAAAATAAAAAGAATGGGGGTTGATTGGAGATAGGGTCTCACAGACTTTCCTGCCCAGGCTGGCTTTGAACCACAATCTTCAGATGTCAGCCTCCTGAATAGCTAGGATTACAGGCATAATAAGCCACCAGCACCCAACCTTTTCTATTATTTTTTAAAATAGAAAATACTATTCTCTAAATTTTTAAACTTACTGGCACAAATTTCTATACATAAGACCCTAGGTGTTAAGTGCCTGTCTGTAGCTACAAACTCCTGTTAGAACTAATAGATTTTGTGTATGTCTTCCTTATTTTCTTCTAAATTGCTTCCTGGGTGTTTAATTCTTTCTAAAACATCCTTTATCTGTCTACATTGTATTTTTTTATTTAAAAGATTCCCCACCCCCTGTTTTGTGCAAACATTGAGACTTGAATTCAGAATACCAGGCTAACACTTTTTTAGCTCACAGCTGGTGCTCTACCATTTGAGTCACACCTCCATCCTTGCTTTCTGGCTGGTTATTTTGGAGATGGGAGTCTAGCAAATTTTACTTCCCAGGCTTGTCTTTTTTTTGGGGGGGGTCCAGCTGTGGGGTCTGAACTC